TTCTCTTTCGTTTTATTGTACCCGATATTGTTTTTCGTTACTAGAAAGAGGAACTAAGTATCGCTGTGGGTTAAGAGCACTCCGAGCACTCCGAGCACGGGCGTTGCTGCTCTAAATTTTTGTGATATTTAGATGAGGTCTTAAACTTTGCGTTGTTGATAAGATATCCTAATGCGGCAGCTCAGCATGACTTTTGGATTAATTGGGAGTTAACAAGGTTAACCTCGGGTCCTTGATTTGTAATCTTATGTATCAAGTCGGTGTTGCTAAAATTTTCATTTACAGGAATTTGTTTATGTAGTTCTGCCCTAATGTTTATTGTTGACCACTGAAGCAGACATAAAAGAGGCAAAAAATAAACCTCTTAAGAGAAAATAGGAAGATTTACATGCATACCACTGATTTATTATATATTTACATATCTTACAGCTAAACTTCCATTTTTACATATATGCCACCTTTAGTATTTACATATCTAACACCTAAACTTCAATTTTTACATACATTCCACCCTAAATATGCATGAAAATGTGTAATTTCACTTTCTAAAAGCTAAAATAGTGATATTTTTGATATGCTATGAAAGTTTTGGGCTGGTATTCGTGTAAAAATCAAAGTTTTGGTGTTAGATATTTAAATACATAAGAATTTGGTGGTTTGTATGTAAATGCCCCAAAAAATTAATACTGATTATTCTTGCACAGCCCGAAATACTTCCTTTTAATTTCTATTGATACTCACAGGTATACCACTCCAGCTTTGTTGATGAGGAGGGCATAACAAAAGCCTGTGGATGCCCTCTTCTCCCACTAAAAACTCACATCAAGGGCCCTGCTCCAGTCTCAGATCCAGGTTTCTTCAAGAATTCAACTCTTTCATCCAAATATATATATTTAGTGAATTTTGTTTCCAGATTCCAGTTCTTAATCATCATTTTTTTTTTAATATTTTGGGGCATTTAGATACCCAATTCTTATGTATTTACATATTTAAGACCTAATGTTTGATTTTTACAGTTATGCCACCCAAATTTTGCATATCACATCAAAAGCATTTTTATTTCAAATTTTAAAATGTAAAATACATCTTTTCATGTATAGGTAAGATGGCATATATGTAAAAATTGAAATTTAGATTTTAGATATGTAAATGCATAAGAATTGAATGTTATGCATGTAAATCCTTTTTTTTTGGTTGCAGACAAGATTGATATTGTTGACGAATCTATATCCTTCTTTCGAGCTAACGTCTTCTTCAGGAATTTTGATATTAGAAGTTCTGCAGATAAGCTGCTCATTTACCTTACATTTTACATTAATGTGGCCTTGAAAAGGCTTGAAGGCTGCAGAACTTTGGCTGTGGGTACCAAAGCAATAATAAATCTGGGCCTGGAAAATGTTCCAGTTCCTGGAGAACAAGGCTTTCCTTTTCCTGGACTCTTTACCTATCCACAATCTCAAGAAGAAGCAGGCATACGCTAATACTCTTTTTTGGGAAGTTTACGTACACACCGCATAATTCTTATGTATTTACACATCTAACATCCAAGTTTTGATATTTACATTTATAACACCTTGGTATCATAAACTCGTGCATCAAAGGTGTATTTCACTTTTAATAAGGTAATGAAGGTGATGTTTTTGTTGAGATGTTAAAGATTTGACTGGCATGCAAGTAAATATGAATGTTTTGGTTTTAGATATGTAAATACATAAGAATTGTGTGGTATGTGTGTAAATGCCCCTCCTTTGTTCGTGAAATATATACATATCTCGCAACTCTTATGTATTGACATATTAAACACCTAAATTTTCATATTTATATTTATAATACACAAAAATTGGATGCCACATAAAAAATACCACAATTATTAACTTTTTAAAAGTGGAATACTCATTTTCACCCATATTTTTTATGATACCAAAGTGTTATAGGTGAAGAAATCAACCTTTTAAGTGTTAGATGTGTAAATACATAATGTGATATGTATGTAAATTTTTGTTTCTTTTTAATTCGTTTAATTGTATGGGCATTTATATACAATTCAATCCTAGTGTATTTACATATCTAACCCCTTTTCATGCACAGGCTCATGATACCAAAGTATTATAAGTGTAAAAATCAAACTTTAAGTGTTAGATATGTAAATACATAAGACTTGTGTGGGATGTATATAATTTTTGCTTTTTTTTTAATTTAATTGTTTGGGCATTTACATACAACACAATTCTTGTTTATTCATATGTATAGCGTCTAAACTTTCTATTTACGTCAAATTTTTAACATCTCAAAAATATTCATAAAACTAACTTTTTTTTGAAGTGGAATTCTCCTCTTCATGTAAAGGTTTATAACATCAAAATGTTGCAAATATAAATATCAAACTTTAGATGTTAGTGTTGACCTCATTTTTGGGTGAGGTCTTTGCTTCTTTCCTTAGAGCCTAGGGTCTAGCCTTAGGTTTTTTTTTTTACCCTCTTAGAGGATTAGTAACGGACCCACACCATTTAGAAAATTCGAGCCACCTCGTCACTCATCCGAGTCTTGCATGGGCGGTCCCAATTCCTTGGCATCTTGTTGAGTTGGTTAGAATCGACATATGAAACTCGAATTGAGTTCCTACATAAATAAGAGTAGTTGTTAGGGAACCTCTTGCGAACTGAACACTCACTAACGCCGCATTTTGCATACGCATCGCACCATGCACGATTTTGACTTGAATTGACTTGTCCGTCAGCGAACTAGTCCGGACAACCCTGGATGAGAAACAGACCACACAGATGCGTCCGAGACGTATACTTTACCTAGGAAGGATACCCATATTGCTATGGTTTCACTCGCGAGTAATTAGCATGAATATCAAATCACATTATTTTTAGTTAGTGAGGCGCGGGCCCGGGCTTAACCCAGGTTCAACTCGGGTTCGATTCAGGCTGAACACGGACTAGTTTCCTCAGCTTATATTTTTTTTGAATTTCAAACTTTAAATTTCAAATTTATCATTTAATCTCCCATTAAGCTATTCCAATTAAGTTGTTGCCGCTCAGGGAAACTATTCAATTCCCCGCCCAACGCAAACTTAACGGCTACTGCAATTTGAGGGATACAAATCCCGCTGGGGCTTGGCCTTTCTCCCATTCGGCTCTCCCGCTCATCTCACCCTCTGCTCAATTCGGCTTCCCCGCTTGCCTCACCCTCTGCTCGATTTGGCTCCCCCGCTCCTTCCTCGCCCTCTCTGCCTCAGGCACCGAAACCCTCGCTTGCATCCCTCTCGCGTTCCCCCGACGCTCTCGACTCTGGCTCCTCTCTTCCTCTGCGCAAGCCCGCTCACCTGCTTCGCTCTTCTCTGTACTGAAGCTTTCACCCGCTAATCTCCTCTCTGCGCTGAGCCCCCTCACCTGCCGTCTCTTCCTCGCCAGGGATTCAGATCCCCGCTCTCGACAAAACTCCCGCTTGCCGCTGCTCCACATCAGAGCCCCGCACTGGAGCCCCTCGCACGTCTCGCCGATCTACACCGAAGCCCTAGCCCCTCGTCTCTTTCTCTCGACAATCGAAGCTCTAGCCGGCAGGACCGCCTCCCCTGCCTGAGACGCTCGCTCGCCTCCCTAGATCGAAGCCCTAGCTGGCCTCCTTCTCGCCAGCGACCAGCTACCTCCCTCTCCCATTCCTTTTCATTCCTTGTTGTGTTCTTGTTGTGCCGAAGAAGGGTAAGGCCAGGTATATTCTTCCAACTATTGCATCTTATTGCTATCAAATTGTTTACATAAATTTGAAATGAAATCCTCTCCACAGACATGCATTCTTGGTCTAGTTTGTTAGATTGGACGATTGAAGCTGTCGGTACATAAGTTTAGTGGACCTTATTGAGGGGCTATACATACAAATGCGAAGCAATTCACTGCTTCTGTTGAGGGGGGTGGCCAAATATAATTGATAGATGTCTTGTTGCTTGAGTTATTTGGAGAGTTACAAGTACTGTTTAGTGGTTTTAGGAGTGCTGGAAAGTTCTTGAAAATTGATGGGAGTGCTGGAAAGTACTTGAAAATCACTGTAGAAGTGCTATCCAAAGCTCTAAAGCTGTTGTTTGGGTATAGAAGTGCTGGAAAATACTTGAAAATGGTTGTTTGGGTTCGTAGGAAGCCATACAAGTGTTGTTTGGTGTTGTAAATTGCTGTTTGGGTTTGTAGGAAACCATACACGCGTTATTTAGTGTTGCAAATAGCTGTTTGAGTTCATAGGAAGCCATACAGGGGTTATTTGGTGTTTCAAATTGTTGTTTAGGTTCGTAGGAAGCCATACAAGTGTTGTTTGGTGTTGCAAATTGTTGTTTGGGTTTGTAGGAAATCAAACATGTGATGTTTGGTGTTGCAAATGACTGTTTGGGTTCGTAGGAAGCCATACATGGATTGTTTAGTATTGCAAAAGACTGTTTGATTTCGTAGGAAGTCATACAAGTGTTGTTTTGTGTTTCAAATTGTTGTTTGGGTTTGGAGGACTGTTCTGTGTGGGATGAAACCATACAATTGTTGTTTAGTGTTGCAAATTGCTGTTTGGGTTCGTAGGAGGCCATACAAGTGTTGTTGTGTTGCAAATTGTTGTTTGGTTTCGTAGGAGACCATACAAGTGTTGTTTGGTGTTGCAAATTGTTGTTTGGGTTCGTAGGAAATCTTAGGGTCACCGTACTAGCATGTTAGTTGTTGTTCGGAGTTGTAGGAAGTTTTAGGATCACCTGTTTGGAGTTCCTAGCTACTGTTACTACTCATTCTGCTGCTTACTGTTTTTTTTCTGGAATTTATTTAAATTCTCTGCAAATTATATTCTGTTTTGTGAGCTAAACATAGATAGTAACAGCAAATACGTCAGGTACATATTATTTATTGTTATTTTTTTACTGCAGTTTACTTTTGCTCTAACATTTCATGCAGACACTGATTGTGATTCCATGTTCAAAACAAAACAATTTTAAAAAATTAAACAACATTTAAAAAAAAAAAAAACATAACAAATACTTTTTATTTTACGGAAGTCTCTCGAATGAGGTAACACACGGTTATTAACGAGATCTCCTCAGTTTAAATGAGCTTAACAACTCATTTGGACCGAGTAAATTCAAAAGAAAATAGTGGTACCGTAACGAGGGAATCGTAGGATCCTAATCGATGTCATTCTAATCAACCTTAACCCCTCTATAATGACAACAAAACCAAAACTTTGGAACACACCTGGTAAAATCTTTTGAACCGTAGACTTTATGACTGACAGTGATATGCGAATGAGTGTCAAAACATTTAAATTAAATTTCAAAATTTCGATGAGGAGTTTGGAGCAACTTCGTGGGCAGCGCGGCAAACAGCTTGGAGCAGACTACAAGTGGAGGTGATTCTACAACAGCAAAGCAAGTCTGCACCAGCTAAACTTTCCTAGTCTAAATAACAACTCATAGGACTTCGAGGTAGCTCGCTCAGTGCGCGTAAATCCTCACACCCTCTTTAGGCTCCTGTACAACCATGTTGTGCAACGTAAGTTCTAACTCGTCTTAGGTTCCAAGATTGTCGTCCGGTACGACGTAAACCCTCTTATCTCTGCAAATATTTGTATAATTGGATATTATGCAAATGTAAGTCCCAAATAATAAAATTGACAGAATTAAACATCTAAATAACATCGTCTCCAGAACTCAGCCACACATTAGGATAGCTTGGGAAGTCACTGAGGTTTCTCTTCAGGATCTATGACATCCCCTACATTTTCCTTCCTTTGGACTCATGAAAGAACTGTTCTTACTTGAGCCACTCCGATTTGTTTTTCCACACCCTACCGTTAAAACCTAAACCTCAAATTTTTGAAAGCTAGTACCTCTCATCATTATCGAGAGTTTTCTCAAGTGACCCCCGTCATTTGGGATGTAATTAACTATAGGGGTTTGCCTCTATATGGAACTTAGAATCCCGGTAAAATAAACTCTATTTAATCTTTGCATTAGATAGAAGAACTTGTCGGTCACATATAAAAGGTTCGCTGACCAAACGGATATCATAAATCTCTTAATTTGCAGGATTTAGTCTATTGCCGAGGTATACACTTATCTTTGGAGAGTGTGTAATATTCGCGGTATAGGACACAATTATGCAAATGCAAACTATTGGACGAATGAGATTCATTGGTCTCATTTTTCAAAAATTAAAACATGCTACTTTCAAAACTCAAACTATATAACTCTTATATTTAAATTAAATTTCAAAGTTATTTTTAATTTTCAAAATCAAAAAGTTGACCGACAGTGATATGTGAATGAGTGTCAAAACATTCCCTTTATTATTTACACGGTGTCATTTTAATCCCAAAGATTATAAAAGTGTTGGACTAGTCCGCAAACTCTTTTCATACGGCTGAAATAGTCCATAGGGAGAACTAAAATGGCCCCCGACGAGAAGTAGGGGACTGTTTTTACACTTTTCTCATATGTAAATATATAAGAAATGTGTGATATGTATGCAAAATTCTCTTGATTGTTTTAGATTTTTATTCTTGATCTAGAACTAATAACTTTATATTTTACTTCATGCAGAGCTCTTCAGGAATTATTTGAAGCAGATAAGGGAAGAAACAAGCGGTAGATTACTTAGCTGTGCCTACAGGTCTAATGGTACCCCTAACAAATGGTGGTTGGCTTTTGCAAAAAGGAAGTTTGTGAACATTATTGTTAATTAAGGAGTTGGCTTGGCCGCTTGGGGTTGGTATCTGGATTCATTTTCTCGAATTCTTCTTGCGTTTGTTTTTGGTTATTTATGGTGATATTAAATAATACGCATATCTCATTCACTTACCATCCGGCCGAGATTGTTGTAGTTTTCTATAAAATTTGTTGTGAAACTGTTGTGGAAAGAGATGATTTCTTAGAGTTATTGTGACATTATAGGTTTTTCTCCCAAGAAAAAATGGAATAATTACCTATACATCACCCAAAATATTGCTATTTACAAAACTAGCTATGGGAGATTTTTTTTGAGTTACCGAACTAATGCATTTACCCTTGCCATGACCAAACCATTGAAACTTTGATAAAAAATATGGGTTGGGATTTCACAGTGAATTTTGATATTTGAGTGAGAATTAGAAAAATGGATGAAAAAGAGTGATATATTTGTAAATGATAATTTTTCAGTGTTATGTATATAATTGCCCCAAAAGAAATTGTTTATAGGTATCAAACTAGTAGATATGCTAGTGAAAAGTTTCTCATCATAGAAATCCTTAAAAAAGTAACAAAAAATGTTGTAAATGGTACTAAGCATTGATAAAATAGTGAGATCAACACATGAACTGCTATGCATTAGATCTTATGCTACTTTTTTTTCTTCCTTTTTTTTGTGTTTTTGTTTTAATTTTGTGATTATGAGTATTATTGTGGTTAGCTTGTAATAGTAGATTTGACGCAACCAAAATGAGAATATTTGAGAGTAATTCAGTTGGATTTGAAAGATATTGGTTTATCCAATTTGTTAGAATTTATTGGGCTTGATCTACTTGACATTATTTATTAATGATGAATGATAATAGTAGTTGCCTTATAATGAAAGCATATTATACAAAAATAGGCATCAAATTAATGGGATGTGGATCACTAAATTGACTATGTTTGCTGGCACATAAATCATTTTCCATCATAGTCGTCATGCCACCTTTGTTAATGGAAAGACGAATCAAATATGATACATAACATGAGATGGGAGTTTAGCGGGAACCGTAGACGGAACTGCTGCGACCCACGAATTGTTGGATTCCGTATCACGGGACCAAAGCTTCCTGCGACCACGAATGTCCCAGCTGACCGAACAAAACTTTCTATTTTTATTTTATTTTATTTTATGTCATTTCATTTACTTTCATCAAGTTATTTTCCTTTACTTCTTTCATTTCTTATCCTTTCATATTTCTCTTATTTCTAATTAGGTATTTGCTATGAGAAGACCTTTATATATGTTGATGTACTTATTTTTGGGATTTCAGTTTGGTTGATTTTATGAATATGAGAAACGTTTCTTTGACTTTCTCTTTGGAATGTTGTATTCCTTTCGTTTTGCAAATAGTCTATATGTATCTTTCGAAGGAGCATATGGTGGAAACCACCTTGCCGCTCTTCACTTATTCAGAGTTTTCTCCATTGTTTGCCACTGGAATAGTCGTTGACGACATCGAAACTTTTGTCTAACTGTAGATTTATCCCCGTAATTCCTTCCAAACACTGTCAACCGCACATAGTAGCCTTCCCTCTTCATTCCAAACGCAGTACAACTCCACACTACTTATTCTTGACGAATAATAATAGTAGTTGGCTTATAATGAGAGCATATAATATAAAATAGTCATCAAACTAATAGGATATGGACCACTAAATTAACCATCTTTGCTATTTTCCATCATAGTCATCAAGCCACCTTTGCTAATGGAAAAACTAATCAAAAATGATATATAGCATGATGCGACAGCTTGGCGGGAACTGCAGGAAGAACTCCTACGACCCACAAATTGGGGGATTTCCTTATCAAGGGACCGAAGCTTCCTACGTCCACAGACGTCCATCCGACCAAACTAACCTTTCTATTTTTATTTTATTTCATTTCCTTTATTTCTATCAAGTTTCCTTCCTTTGCTTCTATCATTTCTCATCATTTCCTATTTTTCTAGTTTTTAATTGGGTATTGTATGGTCGATTTTGTGAATTTGAGAAAAGTTAACTGAATTTTGGTCTTTGGAGTATTGCTTTGTTTTTCTTTTGCAAACAGCGTATTTGTATCTTGCTTGGAAATAGGTGAACTAATCTTCTCGCCGCCTAAACATAACCGATTTAGAGTTTTATCTATTGTTTCCAGCTGGGATAATCACTGACATCGTCGAACCTGTTGTCGAACAACACATCTATTCCCGCAAGTCCTTCCAAACGCCGTCGATCACACATGTCAGCCTTTCCTCTCCACTCAAAATACCGTCCAACGCCTGTATTTCATTCGTTTGTTATTCCACAATCACTCAAAATACCGTCGAACGCCCAAACGTTGCAGCTTCTAAACTACTGCTGTTGGCCAAAATAGCTCCTGAATAACAAATAATTTCAAAAGTATTCAAATTTTGTTCTACTCGATTTTCTTAACAAATGTTTACAGACATAACACTTTATTCCTATATATTTACATATCTAACACCTAAATTTGAATTTTTACATATATTTCAAACCAAAAGAAAGTAGAATACTATCGTTAAAGTTGTTTAGTATAATAGATGGTAAAGCTTATTTAATATTCAATAATTTATATAAATGGGATATTTTATTATGATTACTTGACCATTAATATCAATCCTACTTTAGACTAATAAAACTTAAGCTATTTTAATTAAATATTTCAGTGTATCATTAATTAGAACCCTGCCAAGTGAATTAAAGAATAACCTCTAATTTAAAAATTGAATTTTAATTTAATAAATTTAATATGTTGTCCATCAATAAAATTAATTTCAGTTTTTTCCCAATATATAGATAACAATTTTTATTATAAAATTGTAATCAAATTTATTTTTTTTTAATCAAATTTATAATTAATTATTAATTTCTTTTTTGTGTTTTATAAATTAATTAAATACAAAAACTGTTATTTGAACAAATTAAATCATAAATACTATTAATCTGCTTAAAAACTATTTTTTCGTTACATGTATATTAAAAATCAATTTAATTTAAATTCCTTATTAATAACTGTTCTATTTTATTAATACAAATTAATATTAACAGTTTAAATAATGATTTTTTTAATATAAAATAATAGAAAGATACGCACATACCAGTCAGTTGTTATGTATTTACTTGTCTAACATTAAATTTTATTTTTGACATCCATACCACTTCTTTATGCATGAAAATGTGTATTTCACTTTTTTAAAAAAAGAAAATTAAAATGATGACGCCTTTTATGTAAGAATTTGATGATATAAATATAAAAAGTAATATTATGTAAATACATGGAAATTGAGTGATATTTATATAAATGCCCCAAAATACTAAGCTTTAGAAATGCATAAATGACATCTTCGTAGCATTAACGACTTCTGTGAGGGAGAAGATGAATAGATTTAATTTGCTCAAATTAACAAATAAATAGCTGATAGCCAACTATTGAGATTATCATTTCATGAGATTAAACATAATATATTATCTCATCTCAAAATTATTCCTCTCTAGCTAACCAACCTATTGGATGCAACCAACAGAGTATGGGGAGCAACCTTGGATAAAGAAATTCGTTGTGGGTCGTCTGCGGAGCTTATTATTCTAGAATAAGTTGTGCATTCTTAGGAGTTCATTCGGAGAGTTTATTTTAGAGGAGTACTGTCAAGGATGAATGAAGGGGGATTCTAATATGAATAAGATTTGTTTTTCAATGAAAGAGAACTTAAATCTGCCTAAATTGATATAATAGATGGATCAAAAGAGTGTGTTTGACAAAACATGATATGTCACTAGGCCATAACTTGTCGGCAGAATATGGGTTTATACACTATATTTCTTGTACCATAGTTAACTTGGATAGACATGAGCATATACTTCATTATGATTCTTCCATAAACCCAATGTAGTGAGGATTCAATTATTATGGGAGTAGGCACATCCCTGACTGATATTCAATTGTAATGTTTATATTATTAACCTCCATGCTAAGAGGATAATATCAATTAGCGATATGCAGGTTATGTTTTGACAATGCTCATTAGACAAATGTGAATGTTAATAACATAAAATAATAATAGAGTTAAAGCTATGATATACTAGAGGTTTATATTATTTTCGTTGAATAAAATATCATGAATACATCATATTATTATATTATTTTCTAGAATGAAAAATGAAAGATTAGCGTGCATATTGTTTCTTTTCTTTGGGTTACTGTAGTTTATAATTGTGATTGCTCCTGTGTTATCTTTAGATAACTCATTATATAGTTTTAACTTTTTTTTTTAAGTTTTAAACTTTTAAATAAGGTCAATGGAAGAAGAACTAATGTTTACGGGAAGAGGGAACATCGACTGAAAAGAGTATAAATTTTACTTGTCAATTAAATTATTCTTTTTAGTGGTTCTTTCATCAGAATTTAAGTATTAAACTTTTAGTGATAGAAATAGAGAATTTATTTCCACCGTCTGACCATTCATTCATATCTTGGATCATTCCAAACATTGAGTCGGGTATATAGAGATGCTAAATCTTAGTTTGAAAAATCTTGCCAACTGTTTTGTGGGAAAGAGCATTAGGTGGTGAGATTGAATTTTCCTTAGTGGCGAGTCCATGAGTTACAAGCCATTTGAGATTATGCACAAGCGGAGCATCTTACACCAAAGTTGATACTTTCAATCATCGAGTTTAGTACTAATACATAGGATAATTTTAAAAATATATAGATTTACATGATTAAGGGAGGGAGTAAATCACCAAGCAAAATATTAAACATCAAAAGCAGACTAATAAAACTAGAAAAGCTATAGTCATTAAAGATGATGACATAGTGTATATTAAATTTAAGAATGACATATTCCCCATAACAATATTTGAAAAGCTCAAGTCTAGAATTGACGAAATTAAGAATTATTAAGAAGAGCGATGATATTAGATATGAGATTGATTTTCCCATCCTACATTAATAGACCGGCGTGGAAGTCTTCTCTCACATCCATCCTAAACATGAGCCATAACTTCTCAATGGGTTATCTAATTAACTTCTCTTGTTCGGTTCATCTCCTTCCAGCCACCAAGGCTTGGCCAGCCCTTCATTGGACCTTTTTCCTTATTTAGCAATAATTTTAGGATATTTTGCTTTGTGATTATAAATTTTCTTGCCTTTGACTGGTCGGGACAACTTATTTTGTTTTTTTTCCATTAGACTCTCCTGTTTCTTAAGTTTAGAAGTATTGTATCATTGCTCTTACAAGTAGTGTAGCTTTATCTTGTTAGAGTGCATGTGGTGGATCCCCCCTAACATGCCTAGCATTGCCATAAAAGCCAAATTTTAGGTAAAAAATTTCCCATGTAGTTTATTCCAGCCAACACATTACTAGCTTCAACATAACATGGTAAACATAAAAAGTACACAGTGTCATAAATGTGCAAATGCATGAGCACATATAAATATGTTTAGTATGATAAAATTATACATCATGCTAGATATTTGTATATGTTCATGCTAGTAATAAAATGATAATAAATCTCACCTTATTATACATATCTCACTATCAAACTCCATCACCCATGTCCATTAACTATGATTGTCCTTACTTGTTAAAAATGCTACTAGATTTGTGTATGTCAGCAAGAATCTTGAGAAAAATTAATAAACTAAAAGACAAAAGTATGATCATGGGTGGCTCATGGAAAGAAGACCATAAATCACATAAGCAGAAGACCAAAGGGTTTATTTGACCGGCTACAACTCCATTAGAGCAAGACCAGGAGCCAATTGAACAAAGACTGCCAAGCTAAAGATCAATCACATAACCAAGAGAAGGAATCATTCAAACTCCCGTCCAAATATCACCAATCACCTCACAAGATTCTCTAAGGCTCTTCAGAAAACCTAAGACTCTCATCACTAAACACCCATTGAATGCTCCAAATTGATCTCATGTCAAAGGTGCAAATTATCTGTCGAATTCCGACAGTTTAGTTTCATCACAACAACATGAGTTTCTCATCCATGGTTCAACAGTCGGCAGCTGGACCAAATTAACAGATTGACTGATTCAAGCTGACCGAGCGGTCAGACAACCAAATGACCACCAGAGCCGACCAATTGCTCGACTCAATAAAATCGATCAAAAGGACCTTACCGATCAAAGGACAACCAATATCATACGGGCGAGTAATAAGATGGCAGAGTTACAGACTCTCTATTTTTTTACCTAAAATATCCAACAATTATAAAATAAAGACAAACATGCAAATGTACACTTCTTGCTCTCCTGCCTATAAAATGGATGGAGGGTCCTTTCAATAACAAAGAGCTAATCAATCACTCCAAAGAGCAAGTTGTTTACTCTGCACTCGAGCGGTCGTGGCTTTGCTTGCCTTCTTTTTTCGCCAACGAAATGATTCCTCGTGGTTAGCTCCATCCCTCTCACCACTGCCGAGCAACGCAACTCTCACTCTCCTCTCTTCGCCTCCGCCGCTCACCCCCCTCCTATTCCACCATCTCATGACATACGACTGCGCCAGCGCTGAAACCCTAGTCCATGAGGAATGCGCTGGCCGCAATTCTTCATCGACAGCGAAATCATATAATTTACCACGGTATTTATTTTTTTTTAATTTTATTTTTCATGTCTACTGATCCTCTTTTCACGCCAGATGATGACTACTTTCTTCTTCTTTTAAACTCTCAGGATTTTTCGGCAGCAATGCTGGTAGCTTTTCAAAAACATTTTCATCATGGGAGCTGGGCCTGGAGATTAAATTTATCGGAAGGAACGATCGACCTCCTCCCTTTTCTCGCAGGTCAGTTGATTGCAATATCAGGGGATTCTTCGTCATGAGGTTTGCGTTACGAACTATTGATGTTTGTTTCAATCTTTGAAAAAATTTTGTTGGCAAATGCAGCTTCTCGACGGTATTTACTAGTGTGCATGAAGAGAAACCATCCGCCGAGTATGCGAGGCGGCGGAAGCAGTCGCTGGAGACCGACTTTGGGCACATGCTTGGAATACACGGCTCCGAGACTTTGTTCGCTTACTCGCGCTTTGGTCCTTTTTTGGCGTTGTACAGGGCTGCCATTATTTCGTTCCAGGTGGTCAAGCTATCTGTTTGGCATTTCTTGTTTCAAGACACCCATAAACGAGCTGTTAAGGTATTAACTGATCCTTTTATAATCCATACATGTCAATAATCCTGGCGATGTTTTATAGTTTTTAATTGTTTTCATCTCTATGGCATACTGCATAAACGCTACCGGTATATTGTAATATCTGTTTACATAAGAAGGTGTGTTATTGTGCATCAAGCTGAGAAATGGTTATACTTTCGGTCTTTTAACTTAGAAATCCTCTCCTAGGAACTGTTGTTATTTTGTTTGATAATTTGGCCACGAGGGAAAATTTTAAACTACTTAGCTATGCTTTCATGACTAATTTTTTTGTTCCGTCAAAATGAGTTAATAAAATTTCTACCAATTTAAGATCATACCGTTGAAATTATTTTCTCTAAAGCAGTTGTTAATGTTGAGATTTGGAATAAAGTACCACACATTATTGATAGAAGGAGGGGTGTTTAAACTCAATGACAGTGAAATACAATAAATGAAAGAAATAAAACGGAATAAAATAAATAGGAAATAAATAATGATATAATAAAGAGGGAATAAAAGCTAATAACAAGTAATAAATTTAACACCCCCCTCAAGTTGAAGCATAGATGTTCGTCATGTTCAACTTAGATTTGAAGTCATCAAACGAAGGACGAGGAAGATTCTTGGTTATAGGGGTGTAAATGAGCCAAAAACGAGCGAGCCTGGGCTTAGCTCATATTTGGCTCGTTAAAAAATACCACCATTCATGTTTGACTCGTTTATATTTCAAACAAGTAAAATTTGTAGCATGTGAATCAATAATATTTATTTCCGAGCACAAGCTGTTCGCGAACAAAGAGCTGTTTTGACAATCTTAGTCACGTAGACGTAGGATGTTAAGTTCAGGAGCATGATTTAAATATTTTTATTTACATTAAAACATCAATTAAATGTAATTTAATATATTTTTATTCTATTATTTTAATTTAAAATTTTAATGATCTTTGTAGCATGTGAACCAATAATATTTTCTTGTTCTTATATCTTCAGTTTCGGAAGACCTTAATCAGGTTGGGGCCTTTCTATACTAAGGTACATCCAAGTTCCTTGAAGACAATTATCAATTCAAAATGCTAGTGGTTTACTCATTAATCCTGCCATTTAGTGGTTCAAAAGGATGATTCACATGTTTTAGCTTTTTCCTCCTATAATTCAGACAAAAGTTTTCTTTCATTTAATGAAGCTTTCATAGTGTTTTTTTTTTAAATTTAAAATGCCATCCTGAATATTTTCAATTTATGAATAACGATCACTTTTATTGAAAATTTCTCCCTGATTGAAGTTTGTCAATATCCCTGCTGCTTTGGTTGAACTCTTCTAGGCACTAGTTAAGGTTTCTCTGTCATTATTCCTCTACTAATCGATTTTAAATTGCCCTTTAGTCTTATATATTACACGTGGATAAGATAATTCTTTAGTAATACACTTGATTGGGAAAATATATAGATAGAATTGCTTACGTTTGCTATATGTAAACAAACCTGAAGTACTTATTGTTCATATTGGATTTCTTGATGATATTACGGTTTATGTGCAAAACAAGAGGATCCATGAGGCCCCGTGTCATACCTATTGAACTTTAGTTACAGTTGGCTTGTCTGAATCATGATATATCATTTTTTCTTAATGTTCTTCATAGCAGTGCAGCAGCGATTTCTTACCCATTCAGTGTTTCTCGATAGAAGCACATGTTATCTTTGTTGTAAGGATTTTATAATTTTCTAGATTGTTTCTATAAAAGCCCACCAATTCTTGGCAAAAGTAACATCTAATTTTTTTGAAGTTAATATCATATTTGAACTATTTCACTGTTAATACCTTACTTGGATGAATTATATTTCAAATGTATCTCATGTAGTTATAGAACTCCATATAGAAGGGCAACCTGTATATTTTATAGGATGATATTCTACTTCATATTCATGCCAATTAAAAGGTATCTGTACTGCAAACTTATGATTGACGATGAACTTGTTATTGTACTGCAAACTTATGATTGATGATGAACTAGCTATTGAGTTCTCTCAGTGGGAATTAATGGAAAATTAGAATTCATAAAACCAACCATAAATAGTTGGGATAAAGCTAATGAGGTTGAAGAATATGTCCGTGTGATAAAAACTTGATTTCAAGTAACAGTTCTAAGTGGATCTTTATGTCTTCATGTCTTGTTTATTTTGGTCTATTGTTCATCACCTTAGGTAGCCGCTTAAACTATATGTATAAACTATTTCATTGTTTGCATTGTTTTTCTCTAAAAATTATCAATTATTATGGTTGATCCGCACCACCTCTAGATGTTTATTTACTTAGTAAATCAAAGCAAACAGTCGGTAAATATTTCAACTTTTTTCCTTGTAGCTTGGACAAGCCCTGAGCACACGGCCTGATATCTTACCAAAGGCATACTGCCAAGAACTTTCCAAGTTACAGGTGATAGGCTTATTTCTGCGTTCTTGATTATATATGATTGTCTTATTTCTGCGTTCTCGATTTATTTTTAACTATTTCTCGTGGACATCTGCCGATCATTCACTTTTGAATGCTTGTTTGACCTGGCTACATCAGCGCAGGCATCACTACCTCAGTTGTTTTTATCTAGTTTCTGTTTGTGCCGTGCTCTCATTATTTTGAGCCATTGCTGTTAGATAAAGTTCAACTTATTCGGAATGATGGTCAACCTTTGTAAGACAATGAAATCCTCTTCAATTTTTGTCAAGGGAGACTCGAATACTTATTCGGGTGTTTGAGCTTGGTGAGGCCTTGCTGCACAGTCCCAGGGGAGTGCCTTGCTTTGATTGACAATGTTGGTTTTGAATCAAACACGCAAGATGACTAAAGTTTTTATTACAAGAAAATGACTTGAGGTAATGTAATAAAGAGATTTAGCTGTTGGAAAAAACCATGATACTTACTAGAAAAAAAAATGTATTGAATCAAAATTGGAAGGATTAAAAATAATTAAGTAGTAAATCTTAGATAAGGGCGAGTCAAGGGTGATAGAGAGGAAGAGATGGAATTCTGCAAATTTAATGATGGAGAAGAAAGCATGGATGGTGGATTTTGGAATAAATAATCATGGAAACTACTCCCTAGACTTTGCATTCTACCAAATTTGTGTAAGTCTTTCAGGTAATTTAATTACTAATAACTACTTGACAAGAATTTTGAATTAGGAGTGCTACATAATTTGTAAATAAGAACTATCTTCATGTGTATTGGGCAACCATATTTCTTAAGGGTACTTATTATTTTTTATATAACTAATCTTCCTTACAGTGATTCTCCCATTGATTCCCCTTAGTTCTTTGTGACCAAATCTTTATTAGGCTTATGAACTATCTGATACCGGAGTTGACCCAAATGACGTTTCTAAAATACTCTAAACGAGGTTACAATGAAGACTCAAAGTAAAGAGAACAATCACTCAAAGCAACGGTGCAATATACAAGCAAACACACAACACAACAAGGACGACACAAACAGACTTGACGAACAGGAAATCCAATGGGCAGAGACTGGAGGCCTGCAAGGGGTAGGGTGGAAGGGAGATAGCCTGCGGGGTAGGGAGCAAAAGTGGTGGCCTGCTGGAGCAGGGAGACAACCTGTGGGTATAGGAAGGCGGCCTGCAGGGGCAGGGAGCAGCGGCAACTTGCTGAAAGGAGTATGAAAAGCTGCGGCCTTGCTAGGAGAAGGCTGGCAACAGGTTGGAGGGTGGAAGAACCTGTGCTGCAGCAGGTTGGGGGCAGGGAGGAGGCTGGGCAGTGGCTTATAAGGGTGCAGGGAGTAGTGGCCGCCTACTGGGAGGAGTATGGAAAGCCGCAATCTTGCTGGGAGAAGGCTGACAACAGGCTGAATGGAGGAAGAAGTTGAGCTGCAACTGGTTGGGGCAGGGAGGAGGCTGGGCGGCGGCCTGCAAGGGTGCAGGGGGAAGTCAAAGGGCTGTTGGGGTTGCTGAGTAGTAGTGGAAAGTGTGGACGAATAGATAAATATCTCAATGGGATATAGCTATAGCTGAAACTCCACCTGAACCCGTGGAAACGATCACCACCTCGGACGAGAGACAACTGAAACACTACCTTGACGTAAGATACAACCCTCGAAGGAAAGTTCCAAAAGCCAAAACCTGAATTCAGATATCAAAATAAGATCACTAACTCTAAGCACATCATCGTCTATTTATAATGAGACTAGAACTTAATTTTAGGCAATACTTAAAATAAGAAAGAAGAAAGAAAGAAGAATCAAATCGAAAGAAGAATCAAATCAGGATTTCAAATTTAGGTAAGGAAATAAAGTGAGGGAAAATTAGATTTATGGAAGGTAATTAAAGGAATCAAAATTCAGATTTTGGAAAGGACTTAAAATAAGAAAGGAGAATAAAAATATAATCAGGATTTCAAATTTTAAGTAAAGATTTAAAATAGGAAAGTGCTAGGAAGGAAAGAAAGGAAATGGAAGAAAGGAGAGGAAAGGAAAGGGGGAAGAGGAAGGGGCGGCAACCCCTCTCCCTTGAGGGCTGGCCGACTCAGCCAGGTTAGACCGATTCCAGGCTTGCCCTTCCCCAAGCTCCGCGTCAGTCTTTCAGAAAGGAGAGGAAAGGAAAGGGGGAAGAGGAAGGGGAGGCAACCCCTCTCCCTTGAGGGCCGGCCGACTCAGCCAGGTTGGACCGATTCCAGGCTTGTCCTTCCCCAAGCTCCGCGTCAGTCTTTCAAGGTTGAAGGAGCTCCTTCAACCTCATTTGTTGAAGTTTCTAGTCCCTTGTTTTAAATCCTGACAACACCTGATTCCTCTTTCGATTGTTCTGCCTCCCAATGCACTTGCAAGCGTACCTCCATCTCGGTCTAATTTTGGGACTAAAAGCTCTTGCATGGTGGTGGTCATGGTGGTAGAGAATTGATTATCCCGGTCCCGCTACTCTGCTGGTAAGGGCTCATGTGTCATCGAGCTCTACCGAAAGAATTAAAATGAGACGTTTGCTATCCTTGGTGAAGGAATACATGTTTCTAAATCCTTCGTGCTGACTCTTCCAGTCATATTGCCACATTCGTCCTAACAGAAGGTGACAAACATCCATGAGAACCACCTCACACAATACCTGATGCTGCAACTGATTCTCTATTGAAAATTCTATTAGGCATTACTGGTTGATGCTGATCCTGTTTTCTTTTTTCAGCCACGTCATTGAATTTGACTGGGAAAGCCTCTGAGTTGTGAGTCCTAGTTTCTCTACCATCTGAGTGTTGTTATTCCCGTCAATGATAAAACTGCATACCTTTTTGTTCACTGTGTAGCGGGTGTGAAAAATTTTGTGGCGAAGCTAATGCGGATCGCTCGTTTCCTTAACCCGCAGAATCTGCCCAAGTACTTCTCCCTCATCTGGTGGAAAATGATGCTTCTCACCCTGCTCTTCAATTTTCTGCTCTTCGCTAACTTCTTCCACGGTGCCCAACTCGATAAAATTTACCACTTTGCGCGTCAGGCAGCTGGAGGCTATGTGCCCAAATCCATGACTTCGGAAGCATTTTCTAGCGGGCATAATAGTTAGCTTCTTATTAAGGGTGGCTTTCTCCATATCCGAACCAATTTTCTCAACTTTTTGAGTTGCGCTTCTGCTGGTGTCTCCAACTGTGGGTGGTGGCCTGGCTGATGATGGTTGCCGACTCTGCTTCTACTGGTTTTCCACTTTCAATGCTAGTGTTTGGTCATCCCCCAGTGTCCAATACGACTGTAGCTGCACCACCTTTCTAATACTAGACTTCAAGCCACTAAGACATCTGACTACTGTATTTTCCTCTGGCTCTGTCAGGTTGCATTTCACTTGTAAGTGGTCGAACTGAGCTGTGAACTCTCCCATTGAAAGGTCTCTCTGCTATAGATTGTGGAGTTTCAAAAACATGTTCTGATGGTAATGAGGCAAAAGATATTTCTTCTGCATGATTTTCTTCATCTCATCCGACATGGTAATCTTTTCTTTGCCTTCTCTCCTCCTCCGTCGCTATACATTCTCCCACCATAGAGAGACACTTTTCTTTAACCTCTGCAATTCTTTGCTGGAGGCAATATAGTTCTTGCCGTATCTTTTCCCGGGTAGGCTCGGGCATTTTCTCCTTGGCGGCATGTTTGATGGTTTGGGATCTGTTTGGGGGGGAGAAAAGAAGGAAAAGAGAAAGAAGAGGAAAAAAAATAAACGAAAAAAAAAGAAAAAAAAAATCGTGTGGTGGATTGGGTAGGGGGGAATGCTAGAAACTCTAGGATGAAACTAGGTTTGAGCTAACTTTGATACCGAATGATACCGGAGTTGACCCAAACCACAACTCTAAAATACGAATATTATTATTGACTCTTAATGAGGTTATAATGGCGACAAAAAGTAAAGAGAACAACCGCCCAAAGCGGTGCAGGATACAAGCAAACACAACACAATAAGGACAGCGCAAACAAACTTAACGAGCAAGAAATCTGGTGGGTAGAGACCGGAGACTTGCATGAGGTAGGGGTGGAAGGGAGATGAAAGTGGTGGCCTGCGGGAGTAGGGAGACAGCCTTCGGGGGCAGGAAGGCCTGCTGGGGCCAAAGGCAGGGAGTATCGGCAGCCTGCTGGGAGGAGTATGGAGAGCCGCGACGTTGCTGGGAGAAGGTTGACAACAAGTGGAGGGAGGAAGAAGCTGGGTTGCAGCTGGGGTGGGCTGCTGGGAGCAGTATGGAGAGCTGTGGCCTTACTATGTAAAGGCTGGTAACAGGTTGGAGGGAGGAAGAAGTTGGGCTGCAACTGGTTAGGGCAGGGAGGGGGCTGGTCAGTGGCTTGCAAGGGTGCAAGGGGGAGTATTAAATGAAGAAAAATAATGATTACTATATTATTCTTTGATTAGGACATATAAAAAATATTAAGTACAATAAAAGTAATATGTAATCAAAATTAAAAAAAAAAAGATTATCATCAATATTTTTAGATCATTGCATACGAAAAATAAACATAAGATGTTTTGTACAACATAAATAATCAAAATTTAACATTTTTTTTATATATTTTTATACGTTTCAGACGTTTTGTCACAAGAGTGTATGTGTCCGACACATGTCGAAACTGCATGGCTATTTGTAGTGAAGTGTCGGCACATCATAACTTTTAAGTAAATTAATGTTTATTTTACTAAGAAAAAAATTATAAAAAAATCTTGTCAGGTTTGACGATATAAAAAACTATCATACCTTAAAATTAGAGCACTAATTAGATTAGATATTTAAAAGATTCTAGCACCCTTCAAGTCAAAGGATAATAGGGTAGTGAACGACCGATTTTGAGTCAAGTTGGGGCCGGCTCAAATGGAATTGAGTGTGGTTCGTGGCTCTTGATATTCAATTTCGAGCTAGCTTGACTTGAAATTTAATCGAGCTCGATCTGACCCAAAATCAAAATGAGCTGGCTCAACT